GACTTTAAGTTTGTGACATCATACAATGACAACACGCTGCCTGCTGACCAGACTCTGAAGAAAAGTCCATCAGACTTTGCTGATCCATTTGAAGATCTCGATACTTCAATAGAGGTAGGATTCTGAAATAACCGGGTTATCAAAATTGCAGTGTTTGGTTATGTCTTTAAGTTTTTACATTTATAGTATTGTCTTTGAAGTCCATCAGATTTTGCTGATGCGTTTGAAGAATCAGATGTGTAGTATTGTCTTTGATAAGTAGAACCTGAGGCTTCTTGTTATTTACAGGGTCTTTCCTATATAGTACCTCCCCTTTCTTGCATTTTTTGTGTGTTTGTGTATGAATTTTATTTTATTTTTTTCAAAATAACGCCTTTCATCATATTACAAACAAAGTTGCTTATAGCGAAACGTGGCTATTAATATTAAACTGGAACGTAACCAACTTCCTTTTATTTCCAACCCGAAACTTTCAGTGTATTTTTTTAGACTCTTCTGACGACTAGTCAAGTTTCACTCTGATTTCTGGTCAGCTTTTACAACACTGCAAAGTACCTCGAAATAAACAACGGCATTAAATTAACAAGTAATGATTAGTAAATTGATGATACACTTTGTCGCATAAACCATCTGATTTACTGAAGGCGGCACCAGTACTGTTAATGATCTTTCACATGAAAGACGAACAAAGGTCCTATACTCAAGATTTACTTATTAGTTCATGTAATTTCGAAGGTCCCCGTGTTTAATTCGTGGTGTAGTGGTTAACGCATTCGTTGTTTAAGGAGCGGATCCCTCCTATTTTTAAAGAGGCACAGAGGGGAATCCCCGGGCTTGAGTCAGGAAGCGCATCCGACTTCAAGTCAAAACGTTTAGCCGCCCACGGTAGCGATAGTCGGGGAAGTAAGTGACCAGTCGAAGGGACGTTCTGTGCGTAAATCACAATTATGTTTAATGGGTATTATTATCATCAATGTAGCATTAAAATAACTAAATCACTTTTTAAACTACCGAAGCAGTAGCTGTCAGATATTCATCACTTCCTGCTGTCAGTATTGACAATCTCATTTCTTGTGCTCAATTCTTTGTCATCTCATGTACATCCACATTGCACCTCGGTATATATTAGTGTTACCGCATGTTACAATGTTGTTCTCAAAGGTGTGTTGACAGTCTGTTGGATGGTGAGCGCTACATGTTTATTTCTATCCCATTGTGGCGCCAGAGAAGGAAACTGAAAATGTAACTCAACTGATAACGCCACCTGGTGTTGGAGTTGCACCCCAGGAAATTTCACATTAATCAGTGCAAAGGTTTTACTAGTTACAAAGACACACGGGCTCGTTATTGACAAAGAAGAGGCGTGGCAAGTCATTGTCAATAGGTTTGTTTAATGCATTATCTGAATAATGTGGAGATACAAAGACAACAGCAAATTTAGTGGCAGGACTTCCAATACCACTGTACCTTTATCTAAAACACCACTACCAGACATTGCTTAAAACTACAAGACTCACTGTGTTGCTCCAAGTAAAATAGCAGCTCAACAAAAAAGCCAATTAATATAGTTAAATACAGGTCACTTTGGGAGGCAACCTACAGGGAGTAGTGCCCAAGGACTGCCACCAGTTACTCACTCGTCACCTCGCATTGCAGTTGTCACTGCAACTAAAGGCGCTTTATAATCGTATCCCGGCGTTTACACTCGCATGCATAAGAGGCAACCTGACCAAACGT